ACTTGTCCTTAGGAAATTCTTGAGTGAAAAATGAATCCCCAGAAGTAATATTTCCAACGGTGGTGGCGTCATATCGTAATTTCTCCTGTGCAAAGGGTTATGCCCGTTTCGGTGAAGCCGCGCAGATGTTTTCTCTCCTTCCTAGATTCATGCTGAACCACTTTTGACCAAAAAAGCTGGTCGGCCATCTGATTTTCTGGTTTTCCATGTGGCCACATTGAAGCCCCAGAAGTTAGCTTTCCAATGGTGCCAACCTCGCATCAAAATTCCTCCTGTGCAAAGAGTTATGCCCGTTTCGGTGAAGCCGCGCAAATTTGGTCCTACCCGGATTCATGCCGAACTCCTCCCAAACTAGTTTTCCTTTCTCTTCTCCTCTTTTCTTCAACTCCAAACCCCTAGACAAGGTGTTTTGAAAGATTTTTCAAAGATTTCATCTCTCTTTCGTTCATTTCCACTTTGTCCTTGCTCGGTTTATCGAAAAGCGCAACATTTGACAAAATGCGAGCCTCGGAACATCGTAAAAACTTTATTTCAAAAACGTTTTGAAAGAGATGGTTTTAAGGTCTAAAATCTTTTGATCAAGATTGCTTTGGTCCAAAAGGGGTATGAAGTTGAGATTTGACTCTCCTCTTGCTGAAGAAATCGACCCTGTGCACTGCACAACTTCCAAAACCATCAGTCGCGTCCAAGTCTTAACGGCAGTCAAAAATGGGGTGTCTACACATGTGTGAAGGTAGAGTTTCACATCAGATAAAGACTAAAAAAATGAGTCTTAATATATATTAAATATAGCGATCCCGGTTTTTTTCCATTTGGTTGTTGTATTCCGGACTTAGGTTTCGTGGTGTTGGTTGTTATATATATATATATATTTTGTTGTCATCCTTTAATCCTTTATATTCGAGTTTTGGGATGTATTAGGCAGGTTTGTTACAGGTTGGTAGTGAGTTTGAACCAATGGTTACTGCCCAGAATTTTGTTTCTTCGCTCGAGCCTCGCTCGAGCGAGCTCTGTGTTTTAGATCCTTCGCTCGAGCCAGGGTTCCTTCGCTCAAGTGAGATTTGGTTGATGTGTCTGGTGGCTCGAGCGAGAAGTCTTGCGCTCGAGCTTGCATCTGCGTCTGGTTCTGCATCTGAAGGTTGCAATTCTTCACTCGAGCGAGCTTTCCTTCGTTCGAGCGAGCGAGGTCTATGTTTTGAGTTTCTTCGCTCGAGCGAGCTTCTCTTCGCTGGAGCGTGCTTCTGAGTTGCAGACCTGAAGCTTTGAAATGTTAGCTCGAGCGAGGTTTCTTTGTGTTTGGTCACTCGAGCAACCACTCATTCGCTCGAGCGAGCCTCGTATATTTTAGTTCGCAGCAACTTCTCCTTCTTCACTTTTTCTCCATCTCTTTTGGTTCAAACCCTAGATCCGGCTCCCTCTCTCTTTACACACACCTTCTCTCTAGGGTTTCATCTACTTCTAGAGTGTTTCTACCCTAATCTCTTTGTAAGAAAGATAGAGGGTCGCGAGGGCTTCACTTTAATCTGAAAAGTGGAGGATTTGGAGCACTTTGGGTTTTCTTCATCTTCTCCATTTGGTCTCTTCTTTGAGGTAGGGATAACCTACTCCTTCTTATGAGTTTTAACATAAATTTTAGTCATTTTGATGAGTTGGTGTTGTTGAGTAATTTTGGGAAAAGTAAGGGTTTGATGTGCAATTTACAAAAGAGAGGTTTTGTGTTTTAAAAACTCCATGTGTATGTGAGACCTTGAAAAAAAAAAAAGCGCCATTATTGTCGTTAAATGGAAGAATTTGAACCTTAGGATTAATATTTGAAAAGGGAGGGAAATGTCCTAATTGTGTTGAATAATTAATTTGAATAATTAATTGGTGGAAATATGAAATTGAGTTGAAATTCATGAAATTGGGAAATTATGAGATTGAATGGTGTAGTTAGATTAATTAATCACTCACCTATGAAAGTGTTGATATTATATATGTTGATGCATTTATTATCTGTTTAGACATAACTCTTTTGGGCTATCGGTGGAGGATAGTCTTGATTGTTGTAGACATTGTATGATGATTAGGAAAAATTGAAACTAATCACATTGAATGAGTCATTGAATATGACGGTTGGAATAATACAGCAAGTGTGTGTATTGATTGATCATTGTATATTATAAGTGTTTAAATACATTGTATATGTATATTGTTTGGGAGGAGATAAGGGATGTACTCTATGGTTTGAGAGGAGATAGGAAATGAACTCTCAAACCTATTTGGAAGGAGATAGGGGATGGACTCCACTGATACAGCAAAACTGTGTATCATTTGAAATATGGATGTGTTGAAGTATGGAAGTGTATTAATATGAGTTATATTCTCATGTGAATTGTGAAGTATGGAAATGTTTTAATATGTGTTATAGCCTCATTGAATTGTTTGGCTAGGTTCTGAGCCATAATTATGAATCGAAACTGTGTAAGTGAAGGAAACTGAAATGAAAAATGGATGTGCTTGATATTGAAATGAAAAGTGTTGTAAGTTGGTTTATAAGTGTCAACCATCTATCAAATGCTATTGTTTTAGTTATTTCTCATACTTGGTTTAGTATATCTCTACTAGGCATTGGCTCACCCTATATGTGACATCATTTTCAGGTTCAAGAGATATGCCACCTCCAAGGACATAGCTTGGGAGGCTTAGAGGCTTGAAGATCTTTTTGTTGTTTTCTTCATGTATTACATGTTAATCAAGCCAAGGGCTTATTTTGTATAAAGAGTTAGAACTCTTCTTTTGTTGAACCCAAGTATTGACTTGGAAAGTTGTAAACCCATAGGGCATTTACTTTTGTTATCAACATGTAATATTTTTGGTACTTAATACTCTAATGAATGAAAATATGCTTTATTCTCTTATGTCTATGCATGTCAAGAATGTTGGGTTTATATGTATTTTTTGAGGGCATTACATTAAATGGGTTCTCTACTTACAGGCTTAAACTTTTAAGTGGGTATGAGTTTCAAACAATGTATGTTGAGCCATGATGTGACGTCCGTGGACTCTAAAATTTCTTCCTAATGAATTGAGTCAGTATTATTGTATGGTTGTGGGTTTCGTTATTCCCTAACAATTATTCTAATTCACAGTTTATTACTTCCAAGGTGACTGTTTCTTTTAGTTTGAAGAATTTTTGAGCATTTCTCTGCATCCAATATTGGGAGCCTAAAGAAAGTGAAAACTACAAACAAGATTCACATTCACAAGTTTTTATATTGTAATAAGGGCAAATTACAAATTTTACTCCTATCGTTTGACTTAAATTTTACTTTAATCCCTACACTATAAGTTTAATTTCAATTTTATCATTCCATTCAACTTACTGTCCAAATTTTTTATAGCAAATTATATTGGTAATCCTTATATTTTGATCCTTATGTTATATTGATCCCTGTAATTTCAATTGACTCGATTTTGTCTTTGAATTTATGACATTATCTCAATTTAATCCAATTGAATAAAATTGTTAGCATTTTTGTTTATAATAAAAACGCATATATAAGTTGCATGTGTCAAGATTTTAAGGGCAAAATAATAAGTTTGTTCAACTCAATGAGTTAACATTAATCAATTCAGTGATTATTTTTTTTGTCAAAAACACTAACGGTATTATCAATTGGACCAATTTGACACAAAATCTAAAATCAAGGGTCAAAATTTAACCAATTGATAGTGGAGGGACCAAAATGACACCAAAGGCAAAATGTAGAGACTACTGGTGTAATTTGTTCAATTTTCTATCCATACACCTTAGGGGTGCTTGAAACGCATTACAAAATCATTAATTTTAATGCTAAATTTGAACTGAAGGACAAAATTAAAATTGTATTTCAAGTGTAAAGACCAAATTGTTAAAATCAAAACAACGGGGATCAAAATAAAATTTTGATCAAATTACAATATTTAAAAGTGTAATTTAGCCTTAAAATAATGTTAGTGTGATCACATTTAAATACCATATTTAAATATCATATAAGAGAAATTCTTTTTCTACACACCGCATCGTCTTTGTGCACATACTTTCTCACTCCACACACTTAGTAATTTGATTCTTAGGCATTTATCTCAATCCACACACCCCACATTCCAAATATACTCAGTTAATAAAAAATGTGTGCGCAGAGAGCTCTTTCTATTGTTTTATTTGCCTCTTTTGCTTTTTTCTCAAAAACTGGGAGTGTTTCTTGAGTCTGGATTCAGCTATTCATGCTATAGCATAAAGATTTTATACAGTGGGGTTCCTTCTTTGTTTTTATTTATCACCACTAATGCTTCACCAACTGGGTTTCTCTTTGATCTTTAACACTATTGGTTTCAGCAGTGTTCTACAAGGCGCAATTGTGTGGCTCAAATTGTTTGAAAGGGGGCATGCGTCTGATGCTAAGGCTCTAGGTGCACAACTTGTGTGCTGTGCTTAGATTTTTCTCCAGCCTATGTTCCCTTTAAGTTACAGGATTTTATTACCTTCTTCCGAAAAAGTATTTGAAGACTTAAATAGAGCAGAAAATTAACGTAGGTGATGGACAATGGATGTGCACAGAGAGCTTTTACAAGAAAAAGATGTTTATAGAAATCTCTATTTTGGATGTTTAAGAGTGTGGATAGATGTCTATTTTGATCATTTTATTTAAGAATAAATTTGTAATAAAAATAAATTTATTAAGTGTGTGCACAGAGACAATGTGGTGTGTGGAAATAGAATTACCCATCACATAACGTAACCGTTTACATGGCATTATATCAATTGCAATTGTAAATAAACATGAGTGGAGCTTATCAAATGAAGTGATATGAAATTAATGTAATGTAAAACATCAAATCATATGTTTCTCAAATATGATATCCAAATTTGGTCACTACAATTATTCTTTATAATATTCTAGTTTCCTTCATTTTTTCCACTTTGGTCATGGGCAATTAGGGTTTCTACCAGGACCACCATAGTAAACGTAGTTGCCCTAGTCACTATTATTGCCCATTTGAACATTGTAGCAATTGGATTGGTCAGCGGAAGTGCTATCACTTATAGGAGCTATTAGATTGTTGGAACCATCTGCCAGCTGGATGTTCTTGATGTAACTAGCTTTTCCAAACCCTTCTTCTGGGAAATGACCACTCCCCATTTGGGTGGTGGTGTGGTGCCCACCTGACTTCAAGTTCAACACCTCTCCTCCCCACTGAATCACGGAAGCACTGTCAGCAAGGTATGAAAATAAGGAGGTTGGCCAGTAACCCACTACCTCATTTCCAAATTGCAACCACCAGTCACTAGTTGTTGTGTCCTATCAAATTACAACAACCATTATTAACAAAATCAAAAAGATGCTCAACAGAGGAAAAAAAAAATTAAAGAGTCCGATAAAACATTTCAAAGAGTGGAGAAGTTATTAAATGAATAAGTCAGTTAGGCGTTGACACTTCTTCGAAATTATGTAATTCTTTTTAAATTTTTAAAAATTTTCAACGAAAATCACTTTTTAATTGTCAAAAAATCATTCGTCTGAACTTGAAAAATAAAATAATAAAATCCACCATTTAAAATCAACCATTTATGTAATTGTTGCAGTTCTTTTGTGCAGCACTACTACTAAATTTATATTTGTTTATATGATAGTAAACAAAGATATAGGCATAGAAAGAAAGGCGCCTTTGGGTGTTGGTATTTTAGTTAAAATTGTTAAAAGTTCAAAATATCAAATCACATCATAATTTTTTTTTTTTTTTTTTTTCATGTCTTGTCATTAAAAAAAAGTTAAAAAATCAATTAAAATAGCTACTTTTCAATACCAAAGATTTTGAGGGTGTTTGGAAACACACTATTTTAATTGATTTTTACATGAAATTATATTTTTGCCAACCATTTTTTCCAACCGAATAAATTTTTTGTCACGAATATATCACATTCACCAACTAAAAAAAAAATTGGTAGCCAAAAGTTTATGCTTTTGCCGACTAATGTGAATTACTTGCAAATATGTTGTTTTTCGCGACTAATTTGAAACATTAGTCACCAAAACAAGAGTAGGAGGGCGGAAAAATGGACGGGAGATGTTAAACTTTTAACGACCAATGAAATTTTAGACGCAGTTAGCAAAATGATGTTGTTTTGCTTGTTGGACGAATATTGGGACAAATAAATGACTAACACCTGTGGTAGGGAAAACACATATTTGCCGACAACAAAAAATATAGTAGCCAAAAGTTTTTATTTTCCACGACTAATGTGATTTAGTCACAGAAATATTGTGCCGCAACTAATTTAAAATATTGGTTGCGAAAACTAGAAGCGGGAAGGTGAAAAAAAAAAAAAAAAAAGAAGCAAGAAAAAAAAAATTAGCGACTAATGAATTTTGGTCCCAGATATCAAAATGACGTCGTTTTGATGGTTAGCATATCTATTGTATTATGTGGTCACCAAGTGATTGGTCAATAAAATCAACTAATACTTATGACGAATAAATTTGCTAGTCAGTGTTTCACTACTCACCAATGTTTTTAAAAATTAGGCTGGTAAGCGAACTAGAAAATGGATCGGATGACCAAATCACCGGTTTAACCTTCAGGCCGAATTAGAATCAAATCGTGATATCATAATTATTTTATAAATATATTAAAAAAATATTTAATAATAACATAATAATTAAGATACATTTATTTAAATTATTTTTAAATTTTAAGATAAATTTATAATTCAATAAATATACTTATATTTATTATTTGTAAAATATATTAATATATTAAAATATATTAAAGATGTGTATGTATACCAAATATAAACAAAAGTTGAATGTGACATAATAGTTTGTCATACTTCCATGTCGTTCTATATTCAACTTTCCCAAGCAATATAAATTTATTTGCCATTTGGAAAAATGGAGGATCCTAGACCGGTTGACTATTCAATTTGAACTGGCCGATCCGGTCCAGTTTTCAAAAGTTGTCACTCACATTTGGTAACCAAAGGTACTAGTCTACTGATTGTTGGTTGGGAAATAGTACTTTTGGCGACTAACATTTTTAGCTACCTAATGGTTTAGTCGGGGTAGTTATATGTTCACCGACTAAAAGTTTAATTGCCAAATACTTGTTTTTGCCAACTAATAAATTTTTTTTAGCCACAGATTACTTTCCTCGACCATGTATTAATGACTAAAGTGACAATCAAAAATTTTTGTTGCAAAATGCTTTTGCCAATTAAAATAGCCTTTTTATGACTAAAATTTTAGTCGACAAAAGGATAATTTCATTGGTGATGGCATATTGGTATATTTGGCTTCATGGAAACAAGGTTGCTTTTACCTCGCTCGCAAATGACATCACTAAGCCTTCGTTTGGGATAAACTTTTTTAGTCTGACTTTTTGGCTATTTGATTATTTTGGCCTAACTAAAAAAGTTATATTTGGAATGATGATGGACTTTTTTTGCAATTGATTTTCTGGTTGTGAGAGAAAAAATAAAATAATTATGATTTGAATTTAACATTTTCTCTTATTGGTTATTTTAATCCCAAACTCTCATCCCAAATAACCCCTAAATACCGAAACTTCCCATCGTCTATCATTATTTCCAAAGCCTTTTGAGTGTTTTTTTTATGGTGAAGCCTTTTTTCTTTCCCAGCCATAGGGAAACCATGTTAGTAGGTTGAGAACCACCAGCATTGAGGTGCCTCAAACTTAACATTGATTAGGCCGCAAAGGGAAATCTGGGTTGGGCTAGTAGTGCTTGGTTAACAAGAACTATAAGGCTGTGGTTGGTTGGAGGAATTGGGAAGAGATTTGGAAAGGGAAAAAAAAAAAGATATGTGAAATTAGGTGAAATATACATTTCACATATCTTTTTCCTTTCCCTTTCCCTTTCCCTTTCCCTTTTCATTTCTAAATTCCTTCACAAATCCTCTAACCAAACACAGCCTAATCGATTTTGGTGTCGATGGGTTTTCAGATGCATTGGTCCTTCGATTAGTAAACATGTTGAATTTTGGGCCTTATGAGATTGGCTTTACATGACAGTCAACCTTAAGCAACATCGAATTAAAAGTGAATGCTAGTCTCATTGTGGACCTTCTAAATAACAACAATAATCCCCATCATAGACTCATCAACAATATCCTTGATTGCATATTCGGCATGAAGAAGGTAGGCTTAACCAAATTAAACACTACTAAGAAACAAATAATGAGCAAATATATGGCCAACATATGCAACAACATGGCGATAGGGTTTTATTTTCTTTATGTAGCTCCTAATTGTATTTTAAATTAACTAACACTCAATGCTAGAGGCAACCCAATCTATGAAATATGGGAATTTCGACAAACATATTGTAGACATATTGGGTATTTACCAGCTTATGATATTTCATATGGAATTTTTGCATAGTACCGGGTACACAAAACACGTACTTAAATTTTTTCTTCTTAATTTTTGTTGTACCCAAACGTACCTAGTATATACCCAAGTTGTACCGTACCTTAGTCAAAATAATATTTTCTACTACTATAGAGATAAAATTCATTTTACTAGACTTCCTTTTTTTTTAGTTTTATACTAAGCATGATTTTAAAATTAAGCTATCGTTTGTAAGTTATTTAATATAATGATGTTTAATTTTAGTTTATACCTGTACTTCTGGCATTAAATGTTAATTGTAGGTTAGATTTTCACAAATTAAATTATTTAATTAATTTTTTCATTACTTCAAAATAAAAATAAATAATTTTTTATAAACGTATAAAGCCGTACGCGTATCTTTTTTTTTTAAAAAAATTTACCTTATCGACGTACCCGTATTGCGATAACCAAGTCATGCATATCATTTTTGCATTCATTTATCTTAGTGATATTTTATTTTATTTGTGTTAAATGTGTGTGATATATTTGTTAGTGAATTTTGTTTGAATTAGAAATTGAACATCTAGATGACTTAGAAACCCCTAAGTGAGGAGCTTAATAGTTTTAGTCTATTGAATAGAGCCGGTTGGGAACTTAATTAAAAATTTAGATTAGTAAAAATTATGAAAGATTAAATTAAGACTTAATTGAGATTAATTAGATTAAACTAAACATAATTGATTAGGATTAACATATGATTAATTAAGTTAATCAGAAATTAGTGGATAATGTAATCCTATTCAATTAATAAAATGATGGAGTGTATTTGAGAGAGTTCTAGAGTGTGAGAGATAAAGTAGAGATTCAATTTGTCTAGCTAGAGAATTTTGAAGGAGAACTCAAAAAAGAACCAAGGGAAGTGGAGAACAGAAATTGAAGAATTCATCTATTGAAGAACATTAGGTAAGATTACCAACTTGATTAATGTAGACAAGCCTCATAATACCTGAAATCAAGGAGAAATCAGAATCAATTTAATGTAATTTGAAAGAAATAAAGAATAGAATGAAGAAATTGAGTTCGGTTAAAGAAATATGGAAAATAATTTAGAATTCCATCAATTAGAGTTTGATTTTTTATATCGTTGATATATTTAAGTTTCATCTTCACATGCACCATTGATTTCCAAGGGTTTTGACACTTTAATTTCATGATTTGAAGGCAAGGAAGAAAAGTTTTGAAAATTATTACTTTCATGAAGTTTTAAGGTTAATCTTGAAATCAAAAGAAGTTTTTGATGCAAAAGATTTGAAAATTTATCATATTCTCTTGTTTATTTCTGAATTCACATGATTTGGGATGAGTTTTGCATGAGTTTTAGCAAGAATTTGTGCTATAGATGCTTTGAACTTTGAAGAAATTTCGAATTGCCCTAATTTACCCAGAATTGCACGTGCGGCCAGTATCCCAAAACAGAGTGTTCAGTTTTGAAATAATCGCACGTGCGCTGACCTTCCTGCACATGTAGAAAATAGGGTTTTTACATTTTGAATCCTTTTCCACCCTTTTGACCTCTCCAACAACCCTTTGCATGTATTAAGTCATGATGAGTTAAACTAGAAACTGACTTAATTAAATGGATTAGAAAATAAAAGTTAAGTTCAATTAGTTGTTGTATATTATCAATGTTTATATGTGTGTATCATATAGGTCTGACCACCAAGGAGTAATACTGGATTCAAACCAGCTGTAAGTAATATCTTTGTAAAGTTATTTTCGTATAAGTAATTTTGAAAATGCTATGATATGAATTGTTATATGAAATCTATATTTTATTGTCGGATGAATAAGTATTCCATTTTTGTTAAATCTATTGTTGCATCTTTTAATGAGTCCTAACCATTGGGGGACGTTCTTATGTACCTTGACTCACAGAGATATCTGTTTCGTT